AGCACTCAGAACATTTGTCAAACTGAAATTCACCTTAAAAATTCAACAGCATTATTTAAGTCAGACCCCCAATGGAAAAAAATTAAATTATTTTCCTCATCTAAAACAGTTCTGGTGAATACTGCCAACCGTATAAGTAATCATTTTGGCTTGGGTGCAAGAAAAAAATTGAGTCTAAGATCTTCATAACCCTGCAAATTGTGCACATGCTTCAATAATTTCTGGGAGCTTTTCATCTTACCAGACTGGCCATACCTGTGCTTGTACATCTCCTTTTTCTGCTAAAAACTGGTAATATTGAATCAAATCTTCCTCCAGCATCCCACTGGCCATTCCTGGATTTTCTATTTCGTCTGCCAGCCGAATTCTCTGCACCACCGTGCCTCCAGTCAGAGATATATCACTAGCAACTGGAGAGAAGATGAGAAGAGGAAGAAAAAAAATAATATTAACACACTAAGAAAAAGCCAAGTAATTTACAGACACATTTTAACTAAGAACTAAATTTCTGGTATACCAATGAAATAATATGCTTTAGTACAGACAATCAGCACCTCCATCAATTTTACTTTTCTCAAAGAGTAAGTTTTAAGTACATGAGCATCTTTCAAAATTAAGGGTACTATTAGAATTGGAGGCTGCTATAAAATCAGTCTTCAGAATCTATAAAAGCCAAGATAACAATATCATTCTAAATCTTAAAAAACCTGGTATGTTTCCATTAAAATGTAGCAGACATTTTATGTAATTATAGATCTACATCTCAGATAGGTATCTAGCATCTGTTGGTCTCACAAGACAACTGCACCAAGGCATTAGCCCAACATGCAGAGGAAATAAACCTCAGGAGGAACCCTGCACCATATTCAGCATTGTTTGATACGAACATCACAGGTGATAAGTGCAGAAGGGAGTGCCATTCAAGAACTGGGTTTACAACTACACTCACAGATGTTTAACTGATATTTGTATCTTAGTTAACAAGAAAAAAGATACCATGATTAGCTACAAGTCGATAGTGAGTGAGAGCAGATTCACAGCTCTGAAGGACTCCTATCCCAGCCCAGTATCGGTAACCCTGGAAAGATTATATGAAATACAAAGAACCATTAGTTGTTATGCACACACTTACAAGCACATTGGCAATTAAATAGCCAGACACGTTCAGGTCACTTAAAATTTTTCAGAGCAGAAAGAAAGTGTTTAAGTTTAGACAAGGTCATAAACAAAACTGAAACCATAGCATTTTGAAGATGTCTACCAGTTGCTTTTAAATAAAAATGAAGGCCAGATCAGCCAACGATCTTTGAATTTTGATCCTTCCTGGGACAGGGAGGGAACAAACTAATACATTTCGTTCAAAGGCCAGAAACGCATCCTATTCTATTTGCTGCCTCTACTTTCATCAACAGCTTTACAGTTCTTTGGTTCCCACTATTTTATACAACCATTAAACTTAAAAACTTGATTATGTAGAATGAAGCCAAAAGATACTCCACTTAAGTAAAGAGCAATGCACAAGAACAAAAACAGTGATAGCCAAGTATTTTCAAGCCTTAAGTGTTAACTTTTACCTTCTATGGAAAGGTTATATAAAAAAAAAAAAAATGAAGTGGCTGAGTAATAAGCAATACCGAATGCATACACTCCATTATTCAGATGCAGTGCATTTAAAGGACAATAAAGGCATTCATTATGTTGATATCCAATATATTAGATTAAAACAAGTGCACTTCTCTTTTGCCAGCTTCACTTTTGTAACTATGAAATTTTACTTACTAAAATCATGTGTGCTATCAGATTTCCTCCGAGAGCTCCAAAAGTGTAGTAAACCAGGGCCTGAAATAAGAACATAAGATATTTGGCCACATACATCCGAGAATAAATGGAAGTATAAATTTAAAAAAAAAAAATCAGTTACCTTAGCTTGACTGGAATTGACACCTAGACCAGATGCATAAAGAAATCCAAGAGCCTGAAATTAAAACTACAAGTCAGTACTTATTTTGGAAGTTTCAAGATTATTAGGAATGATTACAAAAGGTAAAAATATAGAAATCAATACTTTTAGTTATGATGCTGAAGGACTTTTCTATCTAATTATTAATATCAAACTGGAAAGTGGGGACCTGAGTAAAGTTTGATTTAGTAGTTCCTAGATCGGTTTCTGGTTGTCAGAACACTAGATCAAAAGCATTCTGAAGATTCTCAGAAGATAAGAAACATTTTTATTCCGAGTTATGAATTAAAGCTGGACACTAGCTGGGTTTCTTCTTGCCACAATCAATAAGAAGGAACTAAGCGCAATCTACTGCTGTCCCACCCTTTATGTTTGTATAACAGAGACAAGGAAAGGTATACCCAGGATACATACACAGTACCCACAGATGAAGCTAGTCAAGAGAACCCTTGTGTTTTGCATCCGTGAGATGCATGCCTGCTTATAGTGGATTCTACATAAACACCCATTCAGAGAAGAATTCAGGAGACCCAATAACTAAAATCTGCTGAATATCTTTGGAAAAGTCACTTAACTTCTGTTCCTCAACTACCCAAGTCTGTAAAATAAAGAGATGTTTTTCAAAGACTATTAAAGAGCTTGTTTGAACAGTACCACCCTCCAAAATTTTGGAAATGCTGAACTTACTTCCTACTGGTTCCAAACAAAACACTGATGGCTCTTCAAGCATATTTGTCAGAATTTGGGGCAGGGAGCATAATATGAGAGCACATTCCTTGGGGCTAAAGGAGCAGTTTCATTGTTTGCTCTGCTTATTTTTTAAACAGTTAGTTTGTTGTTGGGTAATAGGCAGACAAGGTTCTTTGGGTGACTCTTATATCTTTTATTAGACCAACTTAAATAGTTGGATTTTTTTTTTATAGCAAGCTTTCAGGTTTAAAAACCCTTTGTCAGGCTGAGGAAGTCTCTGCAGTTGGTGCACTTTGCACTGATAAATCTAAAGTTGGAGTTCCAAGGGCTGTTTGTCTGAACTATTTTTATTCTTAAGATTTACATAAGTATTGATCTGGCTCAGCCACCTGTGACAGCTGGGTGGCCCAAGTCACAAGGTACAAAAGATATAGTTTCACATACAAAGACGTTACACTGTTTGTGCCTTCAGATTAGGATAGACACATTAATAAATGTGAAAAACGTCCACCTCATGAGGTTAACAGGTAGATATTTTATTTATAGATGTAAATACCTTCCACTGATTTCCATTACACTAAGCAGTGTTTGTACAGTATACTGTTTTTGGCAAACTCCTTAGAAGACTTAACTTGCTCCAGCTTTCTTTTAGTTACAACTGGAGTGTATGAGAAGGAGAGGAAGTAGCAGAAGAGGGAGGAGGGCAAATGAAATTAATGGAGAACAGGGAAAAATAGCCCGCAAAAATCTGAAGTGCCAAAATTAGGTCTTCCTCTAGAATTGGGAATGTGTGCCTTAAATAAGTGTATCTTCAAATACAAAATGTTGCTATTCTGAAACCTTCCCCCTTCAAAATGAAAGGTCAACAAATTTTTATTTATATCATGATGTGTGCGACTAAACGAGCAATTCTGTTCCACCTAACAGCTGCCAAGATTCTCACTGGAATCTATATAACCTTGAAAAAGGCATAAATATCAGCTATTAGTTATATTTATGTAAATCCCTCAGCCAAACAGAGCGCCAATGACCTCCAAAATTCAAAACAATCCAGCTGACATTTTTCAGTTGTAGCAGGGTATAAGTCATAAAATTACAGGCACACTGCTAAGTCAAGTGACAGGGGTAAAATGAAGCGATGAAAACAAGGCTGTAAGGCTTGGTGTTAATAGTTGGTTTAAAAAATCCTTCTAAGTGGAATTTAGTAAAAAGACCAGTTTTGGAGCTCGGATATTTATTTAGAACAAAGAGCTGCTGACCTGACAGTCTTTTTTTTTTTTTTTCAAAGAACAACTACTGCCCATGAAAGAGTAGGGTAAATTTTGCAGCTGATGCTTCTTGTCCTCCTCTGACAGCGAAGAAGAGGAGCCTTCACAGCTTGTTCAGGTCCCCATCCTCTGCAAAAGCTGAAGGCATACATACCATTTGCCCTTTAGGAGACCCCTCCTCTGTCAGCTTCTCAAATAGTTCTTTAGCTGACTGGATGTTTTGCTTCAGGTAATCCCCAAACAATAATGCATAAGACACTTTCTCCATAGCCTTGGTATGGTTCATGTCAGCTGCTTTCAGAAGATATTGATATGCTCTTTAAAAAAAGTAGAGAGAGAGAGAGAGAAAATACAGGTTTAGTCACTTCTGACCAAACAAAATAGGCTATTTTTCAAAACTAAGGTACAGATAAAATCTTTCATTCCCTCACTTTGTCTTATGTATATCTAATTAGCATACTACTTGCTTTGCAAATACTATGTCATTCAAAAACTCAAGATTATACTACTACCAGTTAGAAATATATACAAGTTTTTTCAGTACCCAATCCACATTATTCATTACATTTTGTAAGAGTTCCCAGTCAGACAGTATAGTTCTTCTGTGATGGTAATGCAAGATCTACTTGGTACAAGTTTTTGTGACAGAACTCTTGCCCAGTATCACCAGTGCTCATCTGTTTAAATGAAAGAGAAATCAGGCAGCAACCAGAAAACCTCTGTTCAATTTAAATTAAAAACAAATGCCAAGAAATACTGGGGCAAAAGAATGAACTACTATTTAATGCTGTTGTAACAAAGTGGTCATCTTAATCCTGAAAAAATCTGTTTGAAATGGCCTTTCTGCAAAGTTTGATGAGTTACAAACTTCATCCTGAATATCAAGAGTAGCTTCACCAAAACCCTAAAAGGTACCAATACATAATAATCATTAAAGCTGTGAAACAACACTTCAGTATGTGTAAGATACTGAACTCTCATGAACAGTCTTGCTTGTTCTTTTTTTCTCACTTATTTTCCTCTACAACTCTTTCCTGTTCTTTGGACTTCTTCCTTTTCTTCCCTTTAAAAGTCTTGAAGCTTGCAGAAGTTTCTCTTTCCCTTGTAGCTTCTGGGTATTTCAAATCTAAGGCGTCTAAAAAGTACCTTGTTGTAATAGTGGCAATTACAATGAAGACAAGTCAGTAGTTTGCATTTATATACACTAGTATCATGATGACCAGGGAACATGAGACAATTGGCACAGAGGTAGGGCAGGTCAGGCTGATCTTTTACTCTTAGCCTCTAGAAAGCCAAGCAAGAACCTGAGTGTAAAGAAAAAAAAAGGTTTGAGGATGGATTTATATCCACCAAACATGCAGTGAGCATCTTGGGTTTCAGTGAATCTGGAATCAAGCTTTGACCGTTCAAGTCAGGGAAGCTATTACATGCTGCAAGGGACTTTTGGAGCTTGAGAAGTAAGGACATTGTGGTGAAAGAACTGCACTTGTTAGCATTAACCCAGTGCTTTGATACATAGTGAATATTACTACAACTCTGCATAGATATTATGAAGAAGAATCTTTTGTGGACCCTCTAGAGCAGTGTCCTCAACCAGGGTGCTGCAACACTCTGAGGTGCTTTGAGAACCTTTAAAGAGTGCCATACCATGTTAGCACAGTTAGATGTGCAAATATGATTTACAAGATAAATCCACAGTTTTCAAATAGAAATCCATAGTGGTAAAAACATTCTGCCCTGTTGTGGTCTTTCTGAGTTCTCTGCAACAGAATAATTGTTCTATTATTGTCCTATTATTGTTCTATTGTCCTACTTTTTGTAGTCACAAAATGAGCAAAAGCTAAGAGCTGGCATTTTCTGAGGGATGCCTTGAGTCTAAAAAGGTTGAGAACCACTGCTCTAAGAGGAACAGAGTCATGAGTTGCTACTCCTACCAGTGTTCTACATTTACTATTTATCTTTAATGTTCTAACTAATTTGTATTAAATTAAGTCTGGTATGATTTCTATCATGATGAAAGTCTGTAACCCCTCATTAAGCTGGCTTCTAGCAACACCAAGCTAGGTCACATATTTCTCTTATGAAAAAGCTAAATTAATCTTGAGGAACAGACTCACTCTTTCTTCTGTGCCTTTTTACTGCTCTCATTAAGAATTTTCATCCCAGTCTGGTAAACAACTTCTGCTTCCTGCATTTGTCTTCTCTTATTAGACTGCTCTTCCGCTGGAAAGAAAAACAGCAATCAGTGGTGAGATGAAGATATTTTATTACATTTCCATTTCTGCAGTCCCCAACAGGTGACACTCTAGTTGACCACAAGATGTTGCTACTTGCAGGGCAAGATAAAGCAAAGACAGTGATAGTAAAATGGGAAAAAGAGTGCAAATCAGCATTTGCATTTTTATAATTGACTGTAGTATGTTTCTTCCAACTCCCCCTGCCACCTGTCTCATTCATTTTACTACCTTGATGTACCTGTCACCATTCAACAGAAAGGTAAGAAAGGAAGAGAAGGACCCTCAGACAGACACGTTCTGGCTTCTTTCATATGCAGAGGACACTGCAGTTACATTTCTATACCAAGCCGCTGGTATTAGTGGGAAGCATAAAATGAGATCCTTCTGTGATTCTGAAGTTGTATCGCCTTTAAGACTGCTTCCAGTCACCATAGACTGAGAAATGGAAGTTATGTGGTGGCTCTCATAGCAAGGTTTCCCATAGAGAAGTGGGGGAGTAGGTGTTCATGCCAGGGGGGCAGCTCTCCTGTCCCTATTACTTTTACTGTGGGAACCTTCTGTTTATGCTGATACTTGTTTGTCTGTATGCTGTCTGGCAGTGGCATCCTGGCTTTATGACTTGGGCTCTCAGACACTAAAGTAATATTAATAAATATGATGAAACCACTAACTTTAGTTGATATTCTTTAGATGAATGGGAAAAACAAAAATGCATCTGGCTACTTACTTTCACAGAAGCCCCATTTTTGATCTCTCCTGTAGTCATAGGTTGTTGCACACCAAAGCCTGCCATCTTCTCTCCCATCTGCAGTACATTCTGCATATTCCTTCTCTAGGAACAGGAAGGGGAAGTGGCAGGGCTCACCATCAGCAGTGCCTCCAATGGCTGTCAAAACTGTAAAGATAGCCAGGGATGAGAACTCGCACAGACTTCTCCAACCTGCCACTCACTACATGTGCAGGGATGTCACAAACATTTTTCACACTTGTGAGTTTTTCTAAGAAATCTATTTACTTACTAGTTTGATTGCTGTCAAACAAGGCTTGAAAAAAGAACCCTTTTAATGCAAGTGGCAGCTTAACAGCATCATTGCCAGCAACTTAGAAGTTAAAACTAAAGTCTACCAATTCTGAATACATTCTGTTTCAAGAGCAAGGTCCCCTTCTTTCACCTTGTATCTAAGACAAGGCTGTCCAACTTCTAAGCCCAGCAGAGGCTGCAGGCCATGTGGGGTGTACCAGCAGCACTGCACAGACACTTCCTCTCACCCAGCCAACACAGCTGTGATCCCCACCACATCCTCCCTAACCAGACCTACTCACCCTCAGCTCCTTGCCCTACTGCATTGCCCCATCACTTTGGGCAAAAGCAGGAAGCGGCAGCCAGAAGAGGGAGGGGGAGCCTTGCAGCTGGAGCTGGGAGGGTGGGGAAGAGCCAGGTGAGAACTTGGGAGTCATGCATTAACCCCTTGTGAACTGCATGCAGCCCAACAGCTGGACAGCCCTGTTCTAAGATGCTGCATTGTGAAAATGTAATACAATCCCCACCAAACCTTCCCATCAAAACAAATACACCCCATGTTACATACATCTCTCCCTCTAAAGAACTGCTAAGAGAACAAACATCACAAGACAGTTATCAGTCACCTTTCAGTTACGTTATTATGAAACATGTTCAAATACTAGTGCAATATACAGTGTAAGAACCTATAGAGAACAGACAGTTTTGTTAGGTATCCTAGATAATAAAGCTAGAAATTGTAAGTCAAAGTTGTTTTCCCCCTGTTTACTGTTTGTTCATATTAAGCATTTCAGATTGATTAGATTCATATACAATCTGGACAGTCTACTTGTATACATAGTACTGAAGTGCTGGAGTTGCTGGCATCATAGGGAAATAACTGCATCTAAAAGGCACCTCATTTTTATGGGATTAAAACAAAATTATTAGTTTTCATAAAAAGCTTTTCACTTTAGTAGTGTTGCAACTATCACAGCTGTATTTCAAGTCTCATAGTGTGTTTTTCTTACAGTCCCAGCTTCTGGATTCATGTGACTGAGAATCTCAACCTATTTAAAAGTAAAAAAGTTTCTTGCCCGTATGTTTAGTGAGAAAGCTTGAAAGTGTGATCCCAAAAGGTTAAAAACCCGGAGCACTTTTAAAACATCTCCAATTTTATGAGCTACACATGATTTTTTTAAATACTATTGGCAAACAAACCCCATGTTTTTAGGGTAAGGAAGACAACTGGTAAATAGATAAGGTTGTATTTCAGCCCCATTCCCTCCCTCACCACAGAGGCCTTGATCTGTTCCTCCCCACACCCCTTCCCTGCACTTCCATCAAATTAGACGTACCAGCTGGATGCAGCTCTTCACGCTGAAGAGCTGCGTATCAGAAATCAGATCGGTATCAGTTGATACGCCTCCTTAAAAATCGGCTATTGGTATTGGTCCCAAAAATATCAATCAGTGCACCCCTAGCATTTCCCCTTCCACTAATCCTCAGTTCACCTTTAAGCCTACCAGCTTTTCACAGGCCAAAACCAAAAAGTTTAACAACTATAGGATTTGCCATGTGAGAGCAGACTACTGGGTTCATCAAGCCTGACACCTGACTTCTACCAGTGGGCAATACTGGGCACTTCAAAGGAGTACGAACAAAACATACCTGGCCAATTGTGAAAACTGAAATATGGTAGGATTCATTTATAATTACAGCTCTCTCATCTTGCATTATCTACTGTATTAATGGTTAACATTTGTCCTCCCATATTCCGTTCCCATGGACTTGTCTCACTTCTTACTTTTACTTGCATCTAGTTTGTTTCTTACAGTAAAGCTAGTCTCACTAAAGCTAGTCTCACTAATACCTAAAACAATGCAGCATATTACAAACCTGACACTGCAGTAGTATGGATGCAGGAGAAATACTGAACCATGTACTTTGTATGATCAGCAAATACTTGGTGGAGTCATTTATAAACTCAGAAATGTTATCACACCACTTATCAGTTAATGAGCAAGCCAACAGCGAGGATGATGCACACAGCTGCACACGTTATTTAATGTGGTGTTCAACTGTCCTGCTCTATTTGTAGCGCGTAAACACTACAGTGTTTGAAACATGAACTAGACATATCATTCCCTTAACTTGTATACTGTGGAATTCAACATCCCTTTAACATTTTTTTAATACAAAATATTAAATAGGGTACAACTGCCTAGACATCTGTTATGATAACCACTTGGAAAGTATTCAAGTGAGGTGGGAATCATCAGCCACGTACACTGCGCCCATAAAGTTAGTTTTTCAGCAAGATTTGTAGATAGGAGACACAGAAACAGATCTAAAAGGGACCTATACACTGGGTCCTCAAGTCCAGTCCCCTATGATCACAGACAAACATGGAATAAATATTTACCCAAGAGAGCCACAAGAACATCCACGGTAACCCTTCACGCACACTATAGGCATAAAGCACCTCATAACACACAGTCTTTGGTAAACACAAGGCACCTAGCACCTCCAAACCTACAGTATGCTACAGGAAAATAATGGGAGTCATGAGGGCACAAATGCCTTGACTTGGGCCTATGAAGTGGATTGTTAACCTACAGACAAACGGGAAAACAGCCCCGCAAGGCCCTGCTAGTCTGTACTGGTGGAAATGTCTTACTGACCCCAAATCAAGTGACTGATTTGACACTGTGCTTGTGAGCAAGACCTCCCAGGCAGGTATTTCAAGGTTTTCCAGTGCTACTAGCACTGCAGCTTCTCTCTCACCTTTTGCCTTCAGGAGAGGGCCAAACACACCACACTGGGAACCCAGTAATGTATTTAGGAAATGTTTTCTTGGCCTCTACAAGCAACCAGGAGTCCTGAAGTACCGGATGAATACAACAAGATGTGTGAGTGTAACAAGGTTTGCAAGCAGATTAAAAACTCAAAGAGGAAGATGAACAAATAAGGGAAGAACTTTTTCCGATTTAGGTTATTGCAACTACCAAGCTAAATGCTCTGTATTTACAAGGTCACACAGGGTAATGATAGATGTGGAAAAAAAAAAAAAAGAGCACTTTACTGGAAGAGGAATCACATTAGGCTGACCTGGCTCTCCAGTGTCTACACAGCCCAAGCGCTTCAGCAGAACTTTTTAGTGCTCTTTTCAATCAGCTATTAGATGAAAGCACCAAAAAGCCCCATTGAAGCACCTGAGCTATACAGACATTGGGCAAGCCAGGTCAAACTGATGTGATTCCTCTTCTGGGCATGCGCTGTGCTTGGTGCGGAGGCACACCGAGTTGAAAGTGAAGTGCTGTTTTTCCTCCACCCGTCATGTCTGTAAATACCCATAGTTCATAGATACTAAGGTCAGAAGAGACCTCAACAGATGATCAAGTCCAACCCCCTGCCTAGGCAGGAAAGAGTGCTGGGATCAGATGACCCCAGCCAGATGCCTGTCCAGCCTTCTCTTAAAGACCCCAAGGTAGGGAAGAGCACTGCCTCCCTTGGAAGCCCATTCCAAATTCTGGCCACCCTCACCATGAAGAAGCTCTATCTGAGGTCCAGCCTAAATCTGCTCTCTGTCAGTTTGTGACCATTGTTCCTTGTTACCCCAAGAGGCGCCCTGGTGAACAGAGCATCTCCGATCTCTTGCTACAACCCCCTAATGAATTTGTAGGTGGCCACAAGATCACCTCTCAGCCTTCTCTTGTGGAGGCTGAAGAGGTCCAGGTCCCTCAATCTCTCCTCACAGGGCTTATCCTGTAAGCCCCTGACCGTACGAGTGGCCCTCCTCTGGACCCTCTCAAGTCTTATCAACATCCTTCTTGAAGTACGTTGCCTTGAAGTATGGCGCTCCAAGATCCCTTTCCATTCTTTGCAATCTATGCTAATGCAAGTTGGCAATAATCAAATTCACCTCAAGAATTGGGATATTGCAAGCTCATCACCCCAATGCAAAACCACTCCAATGCTTGACTTCTCCCCAGTACCTTGTCCCCTGTCCCTCCTTCCCTGCCCCCAACCACTTACTCTAGCTTCAGCCTCTGAAACCCATCCTCTCCACCAGTGAAGCCAAATAGTTTTCTTCTGTCAAACTACTTGTCACATACAATGTTGCACTATGTTGAAGTATCCTTTCAATCCCTTTTATGGGATGCCAACACTACAAGCCTCTTGCATAAGCTCTACTTCAAGAACTCCTGTGTATCCCAGCATACTGGCATAAACTGCTTCAAGATAGTACTTGGTAAATTCTGGCTTTCTGAAAGAGCTACATTTCTCTATTCCAATCCAGTCTAAAAGTTGATCTTGTCCTTTAACTTCAAGAGCTTTCCTTCTCTGATACTCACTTCACAATGTATTTTATAAAGGAGTACACCATATACCCCCTTAACTTTCATTTTGCTAAGTTAAACAAGTCTAGATCTTTAAATCATCCTATTTTATGATAGGAGATTATAAGGTTATGGAAAACCTATCAGACCTTCTCTGTGCCTGTTCCAATTTCAATTAACCCTTTTAGAACCCAGGTGACTGGAACTGTTCAAAATATTCTACATGAAGTCTCACCACTGCCTTGTACAATGCTGCTTCTATTTCCTCTACTACAGTCCCGTGCCATGAGCTGCCATCCATATTTCCCTCTTCCTCTATCCCTCAAATCGATTAATTCTCCATACATTATTTCACTTAATATAGAAGATTAAGAACTTTGCTGAAGGAGGGACAGGGA